TCTGCTGTTTGAAGTGGGTACCCAGCTTGCATTGTTTGTAGGAGACCCTGCATCATACCTGTCTCTGTAGCCATTCCTGGGTTGTAAGGATTCAGAAACTTTACTGAGGATATTGGATTTGGTGTAACAGTAATCATGACCATGGGCAAGAGCAACAAGATATGCAGCACATTGACTATACAATACAAGATGGCCCACTCTTCGTTGGTATCTTTACAGCTTTTCACAAGCATATGAACTTGATCCTCTGTGATTTGATGAGTTCAGGAATATCATGCCAAAGAATGCAAAGTAGCCAGCATGTGAAGAAAAAGCAGGTTTGTGTCTGGTGTTGCTGCATGGGGAGAATGTGTTTTCATGACTGTTGAGAGGACAATTCTCCAAAGAGACTTCATTGTTCAGGCCCCAGTTGCTGGAGCTGCACAAGGCCTTGGAGTTGGCAAGACTGGTGCCATTGTTAAATTCTCCAGGCTCCTACTGGATTAAGGAGCCTTGGAATCCTGCTGGATTACGAGCTGCTAACCACAAGGTCAGCAGTTTGAATCTGTCAGTTTCTCTGAGGGAGAAAGATGAGGCTTTCTGCTCCTGTAAAGATATACAGCCTCGGAAACATTATCCAGGGATACTGTGAGTCAGTACAGACTCAGTGGCACATAGCCACCACCACCAACTGGATTAGCATGCCCTGTGTGAAGCGTTGGGGGGCTGTTGCAACAGGTAATGATGCTCCAGGGAAGAGACACTGTAGCATCTGCTACAACTGCTGCTACTGCTAACATTGCTAGAGTCCTAATGAACTACCCACCGTGAGGGGGAGCGAGTCCACCACCACTGTGGGCAGAACAGCCCTGTCTCAGACATTGTGATTCTTCCACATTGTATATGAGCACCCATGAACCTACTATAGAGCTTTCTCCTGCTTGAGGGACCTCAGTAGGCATGACCCCCCCAAGGATGAGACTCCCCCTACCAGGAATTAGAAGTTCATCTCCCTGGGAATGCATCCATGGAGACCCTAGGATACGGCGCATCTTAGTCACTTTTTCTTGCAACATCTTGTAAAATTATAAAGACTGTGATCTTTTTGTCTCTTTGCTGCATTAATGTTAGCTAATAATAAATGCACAGAGAAATTAAACTGCAAAAAGAATAAAAGAGAATAGAAGAGAGTATAAAATTATTTCAAGATTTAAGGATAGTACTATATTTCCTTCTATGGGTCCTGATCAATAACATTTGAAAAACACCGTTGTAGAATGGTTTGTAGGAGTTAAAAGCATTGAGGTAGGTCTGTTTAGTCTGTCATCTCTAGGACACATTAAGTGAGGAAAAGATGTTATACAATTATATCGTCTGATTGCATTTATGTATGTAAGGTCTGGAAGGAAGCATATCATGTTGACAACAATGGTCCTAAGGAAGGTGACAAAAAATGGGAGTGAGGAGAACCTTAGGCATAGCTCTCTTTTTTTGACTTACTAAATTTAGGCCATGTTTTTGTTTTTGTTCCCTAAGAATAAATAATAGAAGGAAAAATGAATTGTTGAAAACAAACAAAAGTGTGCTTGTTGGTGTAATAGTATTCTGAATGTGTTGTCTGTTCCCATTCATGGCTCTAAATGAAATGCTTAGTACTCATTGGGTCTTGTGGGATGAATGGACAATTGTTGCTACCATTATATGGACACAGATTGTTGCTCTTTTTGAGGTAGCAGTAGAGCAAGAAAAGATGATAGGGTGGTGTAGCTCAGGTGAAAGTCTATTTATTTACTCAATAGCTGTTCAACAAAGATGTGCTGCAGCGGCCGTTTACTGTTCTCTGCCTCAGTTCATTGAACCCTCATCACAACCACTTTTAGTATCAAAGGAAGACATTAATGGTACCAGGGTGGTGTAGAGGTTAAGGGGGCTGGATTTGAAATCTGGGCAGCATATTAGTTTTTCTGGGCCTTTGTTTCTGCATTAAAAAAGATGGTATATTAAAATATCATCTACTTCACAAGGATTGTGGTGAGAGACTGCCTCTCCTGTCCTGTGCATGGTGCTTAGGCAGCATGAGTATCCTGTAGTAGGTGAGTTTGTTACTCTGCTTTGTTTTGCACTTGAGAAAACTGACTCTACTATGTGCTGTATTCATTTAGGAGCTTTGGGCAGCCTAGGCATAGGATCAGCAATTGGAAAGGGCTCTGAGAGATCTGGTCTGAGCCTTCCAACTAATGCTTTGTATTTTTTTTTTTTTTCTTTCTGGGCGTCAGTCTTCCCATCAATACAACATTAAAATCATATCTAGGTCCTCTTTGCTTATGTTGTTTTGAATTCTAGTGGAGGTCTGTGAGGCCTTCCCTAGTCTTATTTTTCAGGCTCAGAGTGAGTAATAAGAGCAGGAAGCAGTCGCTTCTTGGGACCATACGGTGTAGTTAGTACTGTCTAGAGGATGCAAATGATAGATACTGATGGTATTTTAAAAGTGGCAGGTAAAGCCCAAGTGGAAATCTGGCAGAAGCCGTGCAGGAATGTCTGCATTTTGTGATGGTTTCTTTAAGAGTTGGGATGGAAAATGTCACTTTCCAAAGTTCAGTATTTGCCTGTAGGAAGGTTATCTAAAACCAGATTCTTTGGCTTTGCATGCCAGTTCATCAACCACGATGAATTAATCAGGCTTGAGTTGTTGGCGGGCCATTTTAGCACTTGGGTGTAATTAGTGGTGGTGGAGATAACTCCAGTTTGGGAATATAGAGACCAGATATAGGCTAAGCTTTACCAATAACCTGATGTGTGACTTTGGGCCTTTGGACCACCGTCTGCAGAAGCTAATGGTTGAACTTGATCTTAGTTTTTAAATTCAGTTTAGAAAATGGACTTACTCAAATTGTTGTAAAAAAATTGAGGGTTATATAAAATTAGAAAGGAAAACCTCTCTCATTTCCCCACAGAAGATGATTTTTAGTGTTTTACCATTCTTTGCCTAGTTATGTATTTATAGTCCACCTGATTCCAAGAAGGATTTGAAGTGACTAGTGTATGTGTTTCCCCTCGCCCCATAGTTTTGGGAATATTTTACTTAAGTTTTTCAGTTACCTTTGTGTCAGGAACATTTTATGTAATTCTTCTCCTGGTGGGGATTTGATGCAATTTCCAGGTTTTTGAGTAGTCGTGGTCTTGAAGGTCCATTCCAATTCCAGTTCAGTGATAAGGCAGAACTCTTCCAGGAACAGAATGAACTCATAGTTTGTTGTTGTGTGTCATCAAGTTGGTTCTGATTCATAGCAACCCTGTATAGGGTTTCTGAAAGTGGCTTCTACCTTTTGACCTTGCAGTTACTGTTATTGTTAAGTGCCCATTAAGTCAGTTCTGACCCATAGCAACCCTGTATAGGGTTTCCCAGGAGTGGCTGGGGAGCTTGGATCACCCACCTTGCAGTTTAAACTGACCTTGCAGTCCAGTTCATTAACCAGTAGCACCATACCAGGACTCCAGTTACTAGTCTAGTGTTTATCCTACAGTACCATGGAAGGAGGAAATTTGGCAAGAATTCAAGCTGGGCTTTCATCAATATATAGCTTGGACCAATGGAAGAAATACTGGGGGTTAGACATAGAAGTGTGGATTCTGGATTTGGTTCTGTAAGTCACTGCCAGGAGATACGGGCTAAGCCACTAAAATTGTGTGGGTTTTTCACACCATCCTTTGAAATTTCATGGGCACTCAAGAAATTGGGAGTCCTGGTGTGGCATTGCAGGATAAGCACTGAACTACAGTCAAATCCACTTGCCGCTCCTCAGAAACCCTGTACAGGGTCGCTATGAGTTTGAACCAACTCTATAGCATTTAATAACAACAATGACAAAATCATCCGTTGCTCCTTGGGGACCCTATGCAGGGTCGATGAGTTGGAAGTGACTTAACGGCACATAGCAAGAACATATGTTTCAAGGTAGCAATGATGTTTTGCTGCCATTTATGGAGTACCCACAACATGCTCTAGGTACGTTGTTGGACACTGCATTGCGTTTAATTCCTAGTTCTCCTCTTACTGATGTAGGAAGTGAGGCTTGGAGACGTTAAATAACTTGTACAGTAATGGTGGAGCTTAGACTAGAATCCAGGTTTGTCTTATATGTCACACTTTACTTCTGATTATGGTTAGCTTTCTGTCAATGTCTCCAGATCCACATTAAACCAATTCATAGACTCTAACCAGCACAACTTTATGGATCAATGAATCCTTTATTTTTCTTTGTTATTCTTAAAACATCTGAATTGGTACCTGATTCCCAGGAGCTTAACTCTTGGTTGTGATAGTCATAGTACTGATACTTATGATAATGACTAACAACAGTTGTTGTTGTTAAGTGCCGTAGAGTTGGTTCTGAACACTAGAGACCATTTATTGAATGCTTACTATGTGTCAGATGTTTATAGACATTTACTCTTTTAACCTTCACCGTTGTTGTTAGTTGCCAATGATGACCCTGTGTGTACAGATTAGAACTGTGTTCTCTAGGGGTTTCAAGTCTGTCACATCTCAGGAGATTGCTAGGCCTGTCTTTTGAGCTAGGTGCCTTTGGGTGGGTTGGAACCACCAACCTTTCAGTTAGTAGTCAAGTGCTTAACTGTTTGTGCCATCTAGGGACTACAGTCTTTGCAGGTTGATGGTGATCTCCCATATAGTAGGCTAAGAAGTGAAGCTCAGAAACATCACTAACTTAGACCTGGCACGGTTACCTGTGCATCAAGCACATATTTGGCACACTGAACATTTGGTGTATGACTGAATTAATAAATGATCCTGCTGAAGGTCACTGAGTTACTGAGTGTTCAAGTTGAGACTCAGCTCCAAAGCCAAAATTGAACCCACAGCCTGAGTTCTGGGCTACATGCTTCCTGAGGTGTGTGTTCCTTGTTGGCTATGGTCTGATTGTCATGTGTGGTTCAGGCAGTTTTAACACTATCTGATGTTCAAATGCAGCTCATCTCTTATTGCACATGTTCTCTTCTAGTGGCCTCGTTCCCAGTTTGCCAGATGACCTGGATGGCATCGCCCCCAGTACTGCTTTGGGAAATGGTGGTAAGTACACAAAGCGAGGCATTCTCTGGAGTAGGAACAAGGGAAGTAGACACCAGACCGTGATCGCCTTGAGGTCTGGGACTGCCCTTTCATATCTGGGACCAGAGCTTAGCCTAACACATAGTTGGTACTCAGTATATTATGTGTGTACTGATTTGCTCTGTACCTCCTTTCATAAAAATTAGGCTAGAGGAATTTGATGTCCTTTAGATGGTACTTACTGAGTTTGATTTTTTGTTACTGCACTTAGAGGGATTCAGCCATGGTTTGTGGAACTGAGTGGCTATATGGAGGCTGGACGGTGATTTTGTGACTGGGTCAGTCACACTAATTCTATCAGTCTCCACTGCCGAGTGATTGGAGGCCCTGGAGATCTGCCACCTGGGCCTGAGTGTACCCTGGCCTTCCTGGCAAGCTGTCACATTCCGTCTGCTGGCCGAGGCCCAGTGTTCCTACATGGACCTATCTTTTAGAGACACATAGCTTGTTGGACCTCAGGAGACAGTGCTGAATAAATAAGCAGTGTATTGTGTTTAAGATGGATTAGGAGGAGACTCTGCTTGGCAATTTGGGTTTTGTTAAATATTCCTTATAATTTTTGTTTTTGATAAAAGTGAATGTTGTTCTAAATGTCTCTGTATGAAGTGCTAAAAATTTACCTTGTTGGAATGTCTTAGGATCTATTATATTTTTATCTCTTCTCCAAAGTGATAAGATATGCGCAAAAATGAATTTTTAAAAATAGGCAGGGTAAGTGTCACAAGGTTTATTTCTTGAGACTAGCTTACAGGCCATCTTCGAGTTATCCTTCAGAGCCTGCTAACTTTTACTTTAGACACAAAATCCAACAAGCCTGGTTTCTATTTTTATTGCCCACAGGCAGTTAAGGAGCAGCTTACTCCTTAGTTTAAACACTAGTGGACTTTTGCTTTATGATGGGCACTGGGCTAAGCACTGGATGGAGACTCAACCTTGACCATAATGGGCTTGGCTCCTGCCCTTACAATATTTAACAGTCTCGAAGAGAAGATAGACAATGAAGCTAACATTATTAGGATGAACGAAATGATCAAAGTGAAATGAGTTAAAAAGTATAAGGTGCTGTGAGAGGAAGTTTGAGGGAGATTTCCTCAATGCGTATTTGTTGGAGAATGTAGGAGGTGGGCCAGCTAAGAGTTTCCTAAAAAACTGATATTGGAGCTTGAAGAACGAGTAGGATGTCCAAGCCACCATTATCTCTGCCCTGGGTTTTTCTTCTTGTTGTTGTTAAGTGCCATCGAGTTGGTTCTGACTCATAGCAACCCTTTTAAGGTTCCAAGGAGCAGCTGGTGGGTTTGAACTAGCAACCTTGTGGTTAGTAGTCTGGTGCTTATCCTACAGCACCACGCCAGCACTCCTGGATTATTCTAGGAGTCTACTAACTGGTTTTACTTCTGCCCTAAGCCCCATTGAGTCTGTTCTCAGAATGGCAGCCAGAGGGAGCCTTAGGAACCTGTGTGATCATGACACTCTAACTTAGAAGCTTCCCATGGCTCCTCACAGTCCTTAGATGAGTCTACATGGCTTACACACAGCCTGACCCTAATGCCTCGCTGACTTCTCTTCTCTCCCTTTTGATTATGATCTCCAGCCCATTGACCTGCTAGCTGTACCTCATCTCAGACTTCTCCCTTTACCTGGAGTGTTCTTCCCCTAGATTATCTGGCTCTCTTTTCCAGTCTTTGCCCACGTCACCTACTCAGTGAGACCTTCCGTAACCATTCATTTAAAATTGCAACCCTCATCCTGGTAGTCCCTGCCCTTGTCTACTGTATATCCATAGCATTTATCACCTTCTCACACATATGGGTAAGAACCACCTCTACAGCACAGAATGAATTAATTCATTCACTCAACATACTTTATTCAAGAAAGTGATAGGCGCTTATCTGCATTTCTTGTGTGCTCATGGTCAAGGGAACCTGTTGGGTGCAGGATCATGTGTTCTTTACCTCTGAGGAATCAGTATCTAGCATAGTGCTTGGCACAGAGTAGGTGTGTAATAAATGTTTATTGAGTAAAGAGGCTGTGGAAAGATTTGGATATTGGCAAAGTGTTTCATTACTCTAAAGCAGGGGTTGGCATGTCCGTGGGCCAAATCTGGCCTGCTTCCTGCTTTTATAAATAAAGTTTTGTTCGAATACATCCATTCTTATTTATGTCTGAGTTGTCTATGGTTGTGTTTGCGTTACCACAGCAAATATGAACAGTTGTGACAAGTTTTAGGCTTTGCTCTTGGCCTGCAATGCTTAAGATTCTTACTGTCTGGCCTTTTAAGAAAACCTTTGCCAATTTCTGCTCTAAAGTCAATGAGACATGCTTTGTTTTAATTGCTAACATATGAAGATGATATTCCGTTCTGCAAAACAAACATGATGACAAGCAGCAGGGAAGTAGTCCCTATCAGGAGAGTTCCGCTGTCTCATACTCAGTGCGTTTTCTGGGTTTGTACTCTAGCAGGCATTGTCCATTAGGGTCAGTTTGAGTAATTTGTAAATATTTGACATATAATGGTTTAGACCTTTCCTTGGACTCAGATCAGTAAATTACAACAGACAGAAAATACAGTTTGATACACTGTGGAAGCTGTTTTATTTTGTTTTCTTTTCTGAACTCTATTCCTTAGTAAGAATGCTGGGCAATTTGCATGCCATGACGCTTTTCTGTGTCTTTCTTTTTACCGTTTTATAGTGCTCCCAACTGTGTCAGAAGAAATGGTATCTCCCACCAGAGTACGGAACATGAAGGACTTTGAAAATGTAAGTGGAGATACCAAATTCTTGTCTAATAAATCCTACTAGCTGTGCCGTCCAACCAGGCCTGGGAGGGAACTGTGTTTCCTGAGAACTGTCCAAGCTGAATAATGCCAGTGTTAGGGCGAGTGCTCTGTCATCTGATGGGTATTCTCTGTGAGATTCTGCAGTCTCTCAGTTATGTAGCCATATAGTAGTCAGTCCTAGGTTCTGACTGGATCAGCAGTTTCTAATCTTTGGGGAGTCTGGCATATATCTGCTGTTAACAAATTTCCAACAGTGGAAGAGAGCTAGCATTTGTCACAGACCTACTATGTGTAAGGCACATTGTTTATGCTGTTAGTAAGTGCTATTGAGTCGGGTTCGAACCATAGCGACCCCGTATAGGGTTTCCAAGGAGCGGCTGGTGAGCTTAAACCGACTTTGCAGTCCACACATTGACACTCAGCACCACCCCAGGACTCCACATTTTTATCCTCTTTGAAATATTTGATGTTTTCCATTTTACAGATAAATGACTCTTAAGTCCAATTTTGCAGCTTGTTGTTAGGTGCTGTTGAGTCGGTACCGACTCATAGCGACCTTATGCACAGTAGAACGAAACATTGCCCGATCCTGGGCCAACCTCACTACTGTTGCCACACTTGAGTCCATCGATGCTGCCACTTGGCCAATCCATCTCGTTGGTGGTCTTCCTATTTTTCTCTGACCCTCCGCCTTACCAAACATGATATCCTTCTCCAGAGACTGGTCCCTCCTGACAATATGTCCAAAGTATGAGAGATGGAGTTTGGCCATCTTGGCCTCCAAGGAGCACTCTGGCTGCACTTCTTCCAAAACAGATCTATTGGTTCTTTTGGCAGTCCATGGCACTTTCAATATTCTCATCCAACACCATAATTCAAAAGCACCAGTTCTTCTACAGTCTTCCTTATTCGCTGTCCAGCTTTCACATGCCTATGAGGTTGTTGAAAATACCATGGCTTGGGTCAGGCACACCTTAGTCCTCAAGCTGACATCTTTGCTCTTTAAAAAAGGTCTTGTGTAACAAATTTGCCTAATGCAATGTATTGTTTGATTTTTGGACTGCTGCTTCTGTGAGTGTTGATAGTTGATCCAAGAAGAATGAAGTCCTTAACAACTTCAATCTTTTCTCCGTTGATAGGAATGTTGTTTATTGGTCCAGTGGTGAAGATTTTTGTTTTCTTGACATTGAGATGTAATCCATACTGAAGGCTGTGTTCTTTGATCTTCATCAGTAAATGTTTTAAGTCCTCTTCACTTTCAGCAAGCAAAGTTGTATCATCTGTATATTGCAGGTTGTCAATGAGTCTTCCTCCAATCCTGATGCCACGTTTTTCTTCATAGAACTCAGCTTCTCGTATTATTTGCTCAGCATACAGGTTGAATAAGTATGGTGAAAGAATACAACCTTGTCACACACCTTTCTTAATTTTAAACCATTTAGTGTTCCCATGTTCTGTTTGAACAACTGCCTCTTGGTCCAGGTATAGATTCCTCATGAGCACAATTAAGTGTTCCAGAATACTCATACTTTACAATGTTGTCCATAGCTTGTCATGATCCACACAATCAAAAGCCTTTGCGTAGTCAATAAAGCACAGGTAAATTTTGCAGATAAGGACCCTAACGTCTAGGAGAGACTGGTTAAAGGTCATAGCCCACCTAAGTGGCAGAGCTGGAATTTAAATCTAGGTTTTCAGTGACTCTAAAATCATTTTCTTTTCTACTTGCATTCTGTAGGCTTCATCTTTGTTGCTGATGAATGAAATGTGAACATCCTCTACCCTATGCTGTATAGTAATTTCCTGAGAATAGATTACTGAGTGATAGATTTGGCTTCGATGCCTACTGCCTTCCAGCATTGTGTCTTTCATTTGTTAGTGGATGGCATTCGTTGTCAAGTAACAGGAAAATAAGGTTATTTTCCTAATTCCAATTCTCCTTAACAAGTTACCTGTTCAGTGTGCTCATTTATCATGGGAAGAATTAGACCCGTCTTCATTTGTAACCAAATGAAATCCATACTACGCAAGACTCAGGAGATGTTTATCAGAGAGAAGATGGAGGACATCGAGAGAAGGACGTTCCACAATTGTGTTTCTCTCTCCCCAGTTGTTTTTACAGAACAGAGCAGAACTGTCTCTGGATTTAATTTAGAATACTCATTACTGCTAATAGTTATCTGCAAACCACCAGTGACCAATTGAAGAAACGACTTGTCAGATCTCTAATGGAAACAAGTAATTTCTGAGCTTTTGAGTTGTTATAATTTCAGTGGTACAACTCGATCTATGCTTTGGGGTCTGGAGCCCCAAATGAATGAGATTTGATTATTCCATATCGTGTATAATTAAAACTGTGCTCCGCTCTTAAATGGTTTTCTTGTTTTGTCGTAAGAGTAATAATAGTTACCACTTATTGAGCTCTTGCTCTGAGCTGGGCACTGTAAGCGTTAGGCTCCTTACATACCTTATTGGAATAATAGAGCAACTCTGTAAGATACAGAGTTGTTATTTCATATTTTGGAAGGGCGCAGTTTTCAATTTTATTTCTAGATGGAAAAAATTGAACAGCATCTTAGAATTTTGGCTTCACATTTTTATCGTTTACCATTTGAGGTAGAAGGAACCTTAGAATGGAATCTAGTTATATATAGGAAAAGCTGAGGCCCAGAGATGTGAAGTGACAAAGATATTCTCAGAGACAGTCTGTGCTACTAGGAACCAAACTCTGAAGCTACAGTTTACTTTACTTGTTACATGCTGGGTGACCATGGACCAGTCATTTAACCTCTTTGTATTTTCTTCATCTTTAAAAGGGGGATGATAATAACATCCCCTTCACAGAGTTGTAGTGAGGGTCAATTGAATGAACATATGTGAAACACACATATATAACACAGAGGCCATTCTGTATATAGCTGTTTCTCTTCCTTATTGTTCTATTAATTATTACTTTTTTTTTTTCTACTCTGCAATGTGATTTATGTTTCCTTTGCTCAGATATGTTCTTGATGACCTAAATACTATTTTCTTGAGAGCCTTCTATGCCTAGGTCTTTTAAGATTTATATATATATATATATATGTATATTCATGATTGTGGTCCTTTGGCTGCTATTAGACTTTTATGGCATTAGTATTTTTTAGTGTAGCATTTTCAAGAGCAAATGCTGCGTTGAAATAGCCGTACTTTTCTTAGGGTTTCTTTCTAGGGGTCTTTCTAGGTCACTGAAAATGCTTATTTGGCCTGAGCTATTACACACATGGTTTCTAGGTGCAGGTGGTCTGTTCTTTTTCTGGGATGCTTATGGGAAATGCTCTTGGCATTCAGTGCTAATTTTAGAGTCAACAAGTATATTAAAGAGGGGGTCAGGATGCTTGTGATTTACAGAGGAAATTCAGGATTCCTCTTATTCCTGTTTCAGATGACTATACTTATATATTGTTATTGTTGCTGTTAAGTGCCGCCAAATTAGTTCCAACTCATAGTGACCCTGCATCTGGTTTCTGAGGAGCAGCTGGTGAGCTTGACTTGTCAACCTTGTGTTCAAACCAAGTTTGCAGTCCATCGCCACACCAGGACTCCATTCACCAGGAAACAATTTCAAATATATGTCCTGTGCCAGTATCCTGAGGTAGGATACTGCCATGGATAAAGACTGTCAGTATCCTGAGGTAGGATACTGCCATGGATAAAGACTGTCAGTATCTTGAGGTAGGATACTGCCATGGATAAAGACTGTCAAGTCTCCCTATCAGGAGCCTCATGGTCTAGTTGGGGAGATGGAAAGGAAAATAATGCAGTTAGAGAGTTAGCTGTAGGGTACTGTGGGAGCATTAAGGGGTTCTGAACCTGTTGGAGGCAGAGACGATGATGTGGAGAGATGGAGCGGCTAGGGACTTTAGACCCAGAGAGGGAGAGGGACTGTGTGCTGACGACTGGGGGGCAGGCTTGCAGGGTATACCCTTTGGTTAGTTGGTGATGCATGGAGGAGATTGTAACCATGGCAATGAAACAATATATGATAGGATGAATGTAAAGCTAATGTTTTCCCATGTAAACTATTACATAATTCACAATAAAACATTAAAAAAAATAAAAAGAAATCATACTAAATAAATATTGCAATAGGCATATCTGCACAAGAGCTCTTTATGAAGTTTTCAAAAGCAAAGGTATCACTTTGAGAGCTTAAGTGTACCTGACTCAAGCTATGGCATTTTCAATAGCCTTATATGCATGTTGGACAATGACTAAGGAAGACCATAGAAGAATTGATGCATTTGAGTTATGGTGTTAGAGAAGAATGCTGAAAGTAACATGCATTGCCAGAAGAACAAACAAATCTTTGTTGGAAGAAGTACAGCCCGAATACTCTTTAGAAGCCAGAATTAATAAGACTTCATCTTTTATACTTCAGAAATTTTGTCAGGAGGGACCAGTCCCTGGAGAAGGACATTATGCTTGGTAAAGTAGATGGTCTGAAATAGTAGAAGACCCCCAATGATATGGATTGGCACTGTGGCACCAGCAATGGGCTCAAGAGTAGCAACAATTGTGAGGATGGCACAATACTAGGCAGAGTTTCGGTCTGTTGTGTTTACTGTTGATATGAATTGGAGCCAACAAGATGGCATCTAACAGCAACAACAATCTCTGAAATGGGAAAAATTAAACTTAGTATTGTGTTGGGGATTAAAAAAATATGCTGAAGCAGTACCTGGTGGTCTTCACCAGGCAGGGACTGCTGTTATTATTGTTAAAATGTAGCTTGCCGCGATGGAGCTAGAGGGAGAACTCTTCGTGAGGTGTGCAGAGCCAGTGTTACAGGAGAGCAAGCAGTATTGAGTGTTGGGTTTGAACATTAGGTGAGGGTAAGAATTGAGAAAAAAGGGATGATTTAGGATAAAACAGCAAGTACCATTTCGGTGCATGCTAGTGCAAATGGTGGAGGACTAAGTCTATTTGGCAGGGAATGAT